AAATAATATAACCTTTTATATTTAAGTCAGGTTAGAGACACTAGCCCAGAATACATACTTCTAGGCACGTTTTTAGAAATAACGTGTCTGTAGTTTGTATCTTATTGAAAAAAAAGACGACAAGAGGTCAATCCGGAGACAATATGCATTCCATTAGTTTAATCGATAGTTTCATCCTATTATCTTAAACACTCAAAGCATTACGACAAATCAAACAACAGTAATAATCAACGTTTGAATCGTTTTCTAAATATTTATTAATATTTTGTTTGTTTTATGTGATGGTAGATAAATATTGCATATATCAATATATTTCAGTTGTTTACTGATTTCGTCTGGAAAAACTCTCCCATAAACAGAGCAAAAGCAAAATAAGATAGGAACAAAAGGTAAAAACTTGTTTATAAAAACCTGTCACATCATTTTCTTTTGCAAAGTACATTGTGTGAATAGAATAACATTCCATGGGAAACATGATTGATAGAAACATTAAAACAATTTCAGAATAAAGTATATAGAATTGTTTGAAATTTGCATTAATTGTATAATAAGAAAATATTTAATGATTAAAAATTTATACTAGCTATGACAATCGCTTCTCGTATGAAAGAAAGAAAAATCTTTTACCTCAATTTATTGTTGTTAACCAATAAACGCTTGCAGATTGTACCGTTATGGTTTTATTTTAGTCCATCATATGTAATAGTTGTATCGTATTTTACATTTTTATATTATTAGACAAATGATTTTGTTTTCTATCTAAAAAATTTAATTGTTTTAGTGCTTTTTTATTTAATAAAGAAAACAATTAGCATATTAAGTAAGTAATACATATTTTAAGATATCGAACAAAAGATAAACTAATCTGTTTTAATTTAAAAGTTTTATACACATATATTAAGATAAGTTTCACTTTGTCGAAGTCTGAATAACAAAACAATTGAACAATGATTACAGAGGGAATTATCTTACATTAAACTTCCCAGATGAAACAATTTAATACATGAAATAGGCTAATCATTGCTTTCAGACGAAAATGACAACGATAAGCGGTTCTGCTAATGGAACGAAAGCATTTATTGGTGTAATACAATGGCATAGCTTCATCCAAGTAAATGCATCATTAATTGTCTTTGGTTGCTTTATGATGTCTGGACAGAAAAGGGAAAATATAAAAGAATATATTTTCTACAACAGTTTTTTCTTATTGGCTATTTCAAATAAATACATGGAAAACTAACACATACATTACATGCAATCTGTTATCTAGTATAAACTAGAAATAACTAAAGAAATGAAATTAGTTCATCACGCATGTCATATCACGTCACCTGACTTGAGTAGTGCATTATTCTGTTCAACAACTTGTTTTCTTCCTACACACTAGCTTCATTTCTTTTGATCCTTTCACTTAAATGCACTTGCATCCGAATAAAACACTAAGTGATTTTAATATCGTTTTATATCTCACTTTCAGCTTAAATCATGAACTAGAGTTGTTTTTATGTTACATGTATAAGCTAAGGTATTATTTTCTAACCCCTTTACCTCATAGAGACGTATTTTGACGGCTTTTCGAACCCCCGTTTTGAGGCCTAAAATAGTGAAATAATACCCTATTTAGGTCTTTTCGTTTGAGAAATGTTGATAGAAAAGTGATCACTTTTTCGGCGCCGCCCCCATCAAAAAGGTACATCAAGGGGTTGCCAGAAGGGGGATGTGCCCCCTTCTGTTTCGAGTGTTTGAAGGGGGCGATAGCCCCCTCCCCCCTCATTGCCAAGAAAATTTTGAACATGTGACAGGCTAAAAATGGCCTCAGGTCGATCGTAAGGTAACGTGTAACCAACGCTGAAAACCCTTTTACTTTATCTCAATCCATTGAGAATCAGTTTTGATGAAAAAAAACCCCAAAATAACCAGATGCAAAATAGTGATTTTTGTCAATTTTGAGATGTCCCCCGTTGCCATGGTAACATGAAATTTAAGACTGATCATGCTCTAACAAAGGCTTTGGTCCAGTAAACATTTTTGCCAAGTTTCATCACTATTGAAGCATTGTACATAGTTTCATAGCAGTTTGAACTTGTAACAGGAGGCTTTTCTATGAAAACGGCCATTTTTCACAATATGCTCATGATGTAAAGGGTTAAAAGGACTCCGCAGATGTTTTGTGGCAGCACGGGATTGAATTTTCGAAGGTTGTGCGGCATTTGATGTAGTTTCGAATCTAAAACTTCATCAAAGAACATTTTAGCTTCGTATTATCTGATATAAACATCAATAAACATTCGACTTTGTTGACTAATTAAACATGTTTTTTGTGTAAAGCATGTATCGCACGTTCTTCAGATTTTCAACGGTGAGTGTTTCAAAAAGTTAAAACACGTGCATGTGCTTTGTAATGAATAAAATGCTTAAATATCACAGAATGACCAATCACTAAAATATAGATTGTTCGTTGATATTACAATTGATATGTTCCAAGAACTTTGTCTTGTAGCCTTTTAACGTAATGAATCTACGACAAGGAAAATCTAAAAGATAAATATTCAACTTTCTTAGAAAATAAAAGACAAAATAATCCAAAAAATTAACATACATGCAGTTCTGTATGATATACAACATATAAAAACTAAGACGAATAGAAATAGATATAATCAAACGTCCTGAAAAAAGATGAAATTATATCTTTTCACCTTGAATTTAAAACCGTAACATAATTCATTGGTCACTTGATGACATATTCTTAATAGTGGTTATCCAAGCGATATAGATTAAATGGTGAATAATGCAAATGTTTTATAACATAGTAAACAATAAAAGGTTTAGAATTGATATATTTATTTCTAACTTCCAGACATATTATGTTTAAACTTAGTTATTAAATACTATACAGTTTGTCCATTCATTCACGACAGTTTTAAGAAATAGTGAATTATTATAGAATAAACATAATGTTAAATACTTGCAGAAGGAATCTGTTCAATAAGAAATAACAAATAGCAAAAAACCTTTAACTTGTCGTATACAAATGCCATTCATTCTGGTAACGTTACCGAGCTGACAATTCAGTTCTGCTTATGCATACATTTTTTAAACATTATAATTTAAAAATAGCAAAAGTGGAAGTATTTGAAAATAGATTCAAATTAGAACGTTTATGCACATTGAAACTTTAACACATGTTCTGTTGGTGTCAACTGAATTATGTGCAATAATTTCGATCCCTGTCTAACGTCTGTAAATACTGGACGAATCATATAGATTTTCAAATATTGGTAAATACCGACAGATATACATAAGAATTTAATAAAGCAACCCTCGTGAATATTAAACAAATTAAATGTAAATCTTAACAGAAGACATCTGGTGATACAGAAATAAAAATACAAATTACCATATTTTTCATTTACAAATGCATTATTCTGATAGGTCGTAAGCTTACATTCAGTTGTCTGTTTGCAATATTTTTTTCTTACATTATATATTATTATAGCATAGTGAAGTTTTAAATAGTTCAAATTAGGAGGTTGTTATCAATTGACGTTTTGTTTTTGTGCAAGTGGAAATTGAGGCAATACCATTATCTGACCCTCCCTGTCCAACTCTGATAAAATGGATCAAAGTAATAATAATAATAATAATAATAATAATAATAATAATAATAATAATAATAATAATAATAATAATAATAATAAAAATAATAAATCAACAAAAAAAGAAGAAAACAAAATAACGTTACTGTTGGAGGGATTTATTTCAGAATTGGGGGAAATATCTGCTTTTTAGGGAGGAGAAAGAGCTCTTAAAAGGCACCGGTTGCTCCAAATTGGTTCTGAAAATTTTAGTCTTTTTCGCTTTCAATTTATGCTGAAAAATGTGTATAACATTGTCTTTCTAGACATGTGCTAATTTAATTTCATTTAATAAATACATATCAATACATCCAAAAGCTTGTACAGGTGCAGTTAGAATATTCATTAAGGCTGCTGAAAGAAATATACTTAAAGTTTATAATATTGTATTTGCACCACTTTGCATCTCGTATTTACTTAAAAAATACAAATTTGTTGATTTCATTTATGATATGATGATAAATACTTTCCATAGATAAACTTGTCTTTTTGTACTTTTGTGTGCGATGTAATTTATAAAATCTTATTAATTATCATAAGAATAGAGTTGTGGATTTGATAATTATCTATCATTTTATATTATATTCTTTTGAACTTCTTGTCCATCGTATTGTGTCGGCTAGATATATATTGTACTGACGCTGAATGTTTTTAGACAATGACTGGAAGTTTCATTTAGACCCACATTAATAGAATCAGTCATGTGATAGTATGGTATTAAAGCAAACAATTTACTTTTGATAGCGTACCGTCAAGAATCATGATCAAGACATAATGTTACAGAAGTCGCAGAACAAACAAAAAAAATTCCAAAAGAGACAACGGTGACATTGTACTAGTACCTGACACAAATGTCAAAATATTTTCCCAGGATGCGCATAAATGGAATAACTGCAACCAAGAAAAAAATTATTTAAACTGTAAGCAAAACACATTTTTTAAATTATATAATTATATTAATTTGAATATATCACACATATGAATATATATTTCACATTTGTAATTTAAACATCGCTGTAATCATATGGGAATAGTAGTCAGTCCGTTGAGGAGACGTTGATCATTATTTGTAATTGATCAATGAAAGTCGTTTAGGTGGACTGATCGCCGAAATATAACCAAAATTGCGTAAAGGTCGTCGATATAAAAACAGATAATCAATCAAACATTCCATATTTCTATTTGTGAACTATACGTTGCTATATATCGTACTTTAAATTTTCGTACTGGACCTTTATTCTATTACGATCAGTGCATTTTCTTCAATGAATATTTGAAAATACGTAAGTTCGATATTTTAAGAACGTTTACATCTTCTTGAAAAAATAACGGCAACAACAACAATAAAAATGATTAAGACAACTGTTCTGTTTTTATAGTTTATTTAGACAAATCAATAAATAACAAAAATATAAAAAATAAAGATTTAATGTTAATAAACTGATAAATTACTATAAAATAAATGAAATGTGTAAGTCTTGAACATGTTAAATATAAACAAATCATGTGTAACATGTGAAGATAGATATTAGCATAAAATAAATAAAACCAACTCACATCACAATTTGTCTTAATATATAATCATTAAAGTTTAATATGTATTTTTCAATTTTATTACAAATACACTGCTTGTAAAGTTCATAAAGACAAACACTGAATGAGAACAATAAACAATATAAACTTTGAAACACAACTAGTCTTAATCGGAAAATATTTTAAAATATGTTGAATGTTCACAAACATCGACCACAAAATAACATTGCACTTTAAACGATAAAAAATAGTACGTTAAGATGTATAGTAAACCATACAAATTAATTCGTTCTTTTATAACTACCAAGACATAAAGAATGGGAAATATAGAAAAAACATACCAAGTATCAAGATGAAAAGATGTCCAATATGAATATTTACCTAAAATACATGGCCGATATAAATAGTTGACATCAAATGATATCAATTTCTACAAAATAAAAAATAAAGATTAAATTACTACAATGTAATCCTCTTATTTAAATAGAGCTTTCAAGGTCGTAATAATTAGAGTCAGAACAGTAAATCCATTTTGTCATGGACAGAATGAATCTCCTTATCTGCCTATTCCTTATGTTCCCTTGTATTACTCCGTCGGAAAACAAATGCTTACACTTTTTCTTTTGAGTAAGAGAAAATTAAATGGCGTGATTTTTCCTCGTAAATGTTCACGTTATAATGTATCTACACGTCAAACATCACAGCACATATACAACTAGCCCTATTTCCTTTTGACAGGAATTCACACGTACCGCCTTTCATACCACAGCGACCAACACTTGTAGGAACGATTATACCTCTACTCCATTTAGTGTCACTACATGTTCCAGCTCTGTTGATACACAACCTGTGACGCCTTTGACATTCACCTTCATCAAATATGGTTGCCATGACAAACAGTCCAAAAACTAGTAATATTTTATTTGTCGCCATCTTAAACAAAAAAAATTAAAACATATAAACTTCTGAAAAAATTATAGAATAAAAAATTATATATATGTAAAATAAATTAACATCGTTTACTTGTCTCAATTATATTTAAAAAAACCGTTATATTATTAAATCTACATCAGTTCTTATCTCCGTACATGATTTCATTTTTTATAGAATATTATTTAATACTTTACCGTAATATATGTTTATGTTTTAAGTAGTCAATTTTCTATATTAAAATGAGAACGATTAGTCCTTGTACAGTGGCCTGCTGCTCAGATGGAGTTTACAAGCATATTTATATAAAATGCTACTTATATATGTTTGTGTGAAGAATTCTCTTTTGTTGTCACATGTTAAGGCTACTTAAATTAGTCATAATAACAATTGATAATTTCAATGAATGAATGAATGAATGAATGAAAATGAAAGCGTTTATCCACTCCTCCAAACAGGGTTTACCTTTTATAAATGAAACAAGAAAATAAACCATTACATTATTTTTTATTAATTAATCAATTTATTCCATCAACATGATACATATACCGTGTAAAGAAAAATCAACACTAAACATTTCTGCATTATGTACGACTGGTTTCTTAATTCAAATTTTGACTTAATTATTTATTTGTATCATTAACATTATTATTAAAGAAGCATGTAAATATAATACTATATTAAGAAAGTAAAAACAGAAGTAAAACAGCTTAACAATGTATATATGTTTAACACTGTTGTCAGTTTCGTTTTTTGTGTGACGAATAGTATTTAGAAAGATCTTTACTTTTTATTTACCAATATGAATTTACGAATAAAAGATGATAATCTTTTCCATGTAATCCTTACCATTTCTAAAACTCTTTATGAAAGCATTAACTACTCGATCTCTTTTAAAATTTCATCAGTGAATAAAAAACGCACTTATAAAACACTTTACTGTTTTTAACATTATTTGCTTACTGCAGGGACCACCTAAATCTAGTTTGAGTCAGTACGATATTATTACAAAATATAAGCTAATTACGTCAGATTTTTTTTTAAAAATCCGTTTAACATTACTAATATCTTTTTATGAATGATTAATAGATTTGTTCTGACAATTATGTAAAATATGGTGTACATATTAAATACTATTATTTGTGATTGAGCAAGAAAATCCTTTCATGGACATTTTAAAAATATGTATAAGTTACTTGGGAAAGAAGTTTAATAGAAGCTTGTATACAATTGTGTTATTCAGAGTTTTGCATACACTGGCTTCATATCAAAATCTTCTGTATTTACGTAATAATGATGTATGACTATTTCGATTTACTTAAAGGGTATTAAAATTCAGTAATTCGTTTAAATAGTTAAAGAATCAATGTTATTGTATATTGTTTATTTATGTACTTTTACGAAATCAATGATATTGTTTATTGTTTATTTATGTTTGAAACAAAATCAAATCCCATTTACATCAATAATTTCCGCAGGGAAATAATATGAGTCATAAATGACTTGTCGCGAAGAAATCCCATCACATAAGTGCTGAAAATATTCAACAATAGTAATAATAAATAAATAAAACGGCAACAATGCATAATGGATGAAATATAAAAACAAAACAAAATACCAACGGCAATTTCCATTTCTACAATTAAGATAGGGGTTGATTTTCTTTCTTGCATTTATTTCTTATTTAAAAATTTGATTAAGACTTTATAGAAAATAAATTTCTAACTAACTCGGTAATATCTTTACAAATAATGCTTTTTGGAACTTACAATATTAAAAAATCCTCATTTGAGCATTAAATTTATGATATACAACCATAAAAATTGTGTTAAAGGATCTTTAAACATATTAAATACATGTATATCCTTGTAGTAAACTATGAATGAATTGTAGGTGATGCAGATATTTATCAAGTACAGTATTGATACAATTAACTTCAATTAATTTCAGTTTAAATATGAGTTCAGATTTGTTAATTTGTTCATATAATTATACTTTTTATAAAGTTTTCTATTCCTAAATGATACTATTTCTTTAAGTTCTACTAAGTTGCAGTATTTTTACCTAAAATGGAAATATTTGTTTCCGTAATGATCTCTAAACTCCTTAGAAGTGGTCTTTCGGTTATATACAAACACAATTTGATTCATACTGTTTTGTTAACTAAAACGTTTTTATTTTGTTTTCACTAAAATATATTGACAACTTATACACCTAAAAAGAATTTTAAGCTAATGTGGAAGGAAATGGCATTGTAAGGCATCTTAACCTTCACACAACATCTTCATCTGTGCAAATATTAATGAATATACTTATATATAAGTGTTTATATATATAAAAATGTTTAACTTTAAGTAACATGGTTTGGATCTTTATCAATTTATTTCAAAACACAATTACATTATTTTATTGATGACTCCAATTTTGACCTGTAATCTAAAATAAAATAGGTCTCAGAGAATAAAACATTCATACCAGGTTATTTTGATCATCCATTTTCCCTTTTTGTGTAAGATATTATCATTAATATGCTTGCTTTTTAAATAAAGCTAATTTTGAAAGAAATTTCTATCATTATTTCGGAGGCTTTATTCATTTGCCTTTTCATTTTCTTAAATTATTATGAAACATTCATTGTCATAATGAAACACACAACTTGAAGTCTCTTTTTCAATTGCAAAGTAAAACCATCTTATAGCCATTAGATTTAGACATATGGACTACTCTGGGATATCAGAATATTAAAACTTTCATTTAAATTTGGCATTAGGTAAATGCACTGTAATGTAGATTAAAATGAACAATCATTAAAAATTAATTACGGTAATAAAGTCTTTAAAATTGATTGGACATTTGCAATCTTGTTTATAATATAAATGGTTATCTGGAAGAGTAAATATAAAGTAAAAGGAAAAGTATATCACCGGCGCTCTTGTATTGAGATAGTCCTTAATCCTTTGAAAAAAAAGTTTTAGGTAGACAAAATAAAATCGACAAATACCGTACTATTTGTAAACTACACTGTAAGACTATTTAATTTATTGTTTAACTGTCCCGCTTTCACTTTTAAATTAAATCTTTTCATACATTTGATTTGAACTTTTTAATTATTAGTCCCTTATAGGTTTACCGGAGGGGGCTTTAGGTTTACCCTCCGTCCGTCCGTCTGTCAGTCCGTCCACAAAACTGGATGCCGCGATAAATCAAAAAGTACTGGAAATATTTAACTGAAACTTGATATACGAATAGATGGCAGTCTCGAGATTATGCACGTCTTTTTCTTTTCTTCCTTTGGTGAAAAAATTGATTGCAATGGCAACAAATATGCTTAAAACATGGCAAATATAACAATATTTATGATTAGTCAAAAACAGCTGAAAATTTTTATGAAACTTAAAATATGGATAGATGGCAGTATGGAGATTGTACACATCATTTTAATCATGACTATAGGGAGTATATTGAAAGCTGTCATACTTACCAAACGTCGGCAACCTTGTCAAGATTTCTGATTCTAGTTTTTAGGCTTTTTCATTGTAAGTTCTTTATTTCTTAAGGTATTTACTTCAAACTTCAAATATAAGTTTCATCAACCACATCATATGTGACAAGGTTCATAACTCTAGCACAACAATTATCAGAATTACCTCCCTTGAACTTAGGACTTTCATAAAAAGTGTGTTTTTTAATTACTCATATTTCCAGAATTATCTCCTCCTTAATCTTTGATTTTTTCATATTCATTTTTTTAACTTTCTTATTTCTTCATGGATTTACTTCAAATTCAAAATAAACGTTCATTATCAACACCTACATTACGAATTGTTCTTTGTTACACTCACATCATGTATGCCAATGTTCATAAGTCTTGCATCTTTATTTCAAGAGTTACCTCTTTTTTAAGAATTTTGCTTTTGAAAATGTTATATTTTGGTAACAGGGATGTTTAAAAAAATTTACTTTAGAGTATCCTTCTGTTTCCTGTGATCACTTTTAAAGAACTTTTCGAACAAATTTACTTAAAATAGAGAAAAATTGAAACTTTAGTGAATGATCAATGGCCCTTCAGAATGTTGCTGGGGTTCTTACCGGTAGGGGCCTTATGGATTGCTTGCAATTCTATGATAATTGCTTGTTTATCTATATAAACTATATAAATAAATTTTCCTTGCGAATGGAATAAAAAGCTTTGTTTGAAATCTTCACAGTCTATGTATCATAATTTAATTGTTTTAGTTGTTTTATGATGTATGGACAGAATAAAAAAAGAGTATATATTATTCGTTTCAGACACGGTGAAACTTTTTTGTGCAAGAAAATAAAATGGTGTTTCTGGAAGTAAGACACTTGTATCGGTTTGATTTAATGTAATGTTCCCCAAATGGTCTCTTTCGTAAGCAAAACATACGTAATTCCTAAGATTGAAAATTAAATTGTATTATACCGCAATTTACAAGTGAACGGAAAATGTCTGAATGGAAAATAGATATTATCAAACTGTTTTGGCAATAAAATGATAGCCATAAATAACCCAAAAATGCCATGAACACAATTACAGCGTTACTGTGATGAAACTATTACACGTAGTCTAGGATTAGAACTTATTTCAAATGGGGTCCTTTGATGAAAACAAATACATGTTTTTGAAAACTAACATTACAGTCCACGTTTAAAGATGATATTCTGGACTATATTTCTGAGATCAAATAATATTAATTGCTATCACAGATTATGTTTATTACACTTATCACAAACTACAGGAATAATACGATGACAATGACGAGTTATCACACCAAGGAAATATACCTAAATAAATATATGTCACAAAACCAATCACAAGATACATTTATATGCATCATGCTTATACATAAAAACAATTAACTTTAAAATTAGTAAAAAAAATACTGTCTCTACTATTATAACAATGAACATCAGACTTTAAACCAAAGTTATCATACATATCAGATGGACATTTTCATTAAATATTTTATGTACATGATTGAGTCTTAATTGTATGACTCTATTTTCTATATAAAGCCATCCAATACTTCTTAAATCAGTAACTTTCAATAATTTTCTAGAGGAATATCCATGTTTATTACGAACACATTTGTTTTGTGCTACTTAAAGTTTATACTTCAGTTGTTTAGTAAGATGATAAATGAATATTGAAATCATTTATGATTAAGACTAACAGAAATTGAAAATAAGATGTTTCTTTGCAAATTTAAAATCTGATATAATCGCAGTGCAATACCATGTACGAGTATTTTGAGAAGGTATAAATATGAGCAAATAATTATGTAAATAATTGCACATCAATGACAATGTATTTTGATTTCAGAATAAGCACAAATAGAAATACTTCAATATTATATAAATTGTATGTTAAGGAACTATTTCTCCGGATGAGTCAAAATAATTCAAGAGAAACAAACTTGTAAAAAATTGAATTAGATTTTAAGAAAAGTAAAACGATTCAAGATTCAAGTAATAATTTTCATATTATAAACACTTAATGACTGATTTTCAGCATGAATCACTACATTTCTTCTGCGTAACTAACGCAGTAAGTTCTTTTGGCATTTATTGATCTCATATATTGATCTACGTGGATTGGATTGTGTAAATTATTTCCTTTGTTAGCTTCACCGATTTTACTTTAAATAAATTTTCAAACTAACTTTTCATAAAAACTAGCATGCTATATATGAATCTAGAGGTAATTTGCTTTAATAGTCGATACATCTATCCTTATTGCTTTTATGCGTCTTCAAAATAGAAATAAAAACATCAATGAGAAAGAAGTAAATGTATTTTGATTAGATATGTTATTAATGTTATCATAAGAGAAATCATATTCAAGACATCACATAATACTAAGATTATTATACTATGTCGTTATTTCAAAATATATTGAACGAATATTAACACAAAAAAGCGTACGCATTTTATTAACGTTTATTTACCGTTGCATACTTTACACAAAACGTACATAAAGCTAAATAAATACAAGTATCTCAAATGTTCGTCCTAACTTTACATAAGTCTTAAATTTACGGTACAAAGATAATTCGAGTTTAAATGTTAAATTCTGCATAAGCCGGTGCTAGGGGGGGGGGCGTGCACGTAACTTGCACATTCCTGTATCGTCCATAAACAGGCTCAATCAAACCGAGCCTGCAACAATTTTAATTTTTCCGTGGTGGACCTTTTTCAGGGATTCTGTTTTTCTCTATGCTATGAGATAATGTGAAATAATATGAGCAACGGGCTAGAATCGTTCGTCTGACAATGTTTCATTCCTTTCACACAGCTGCAACTGAATAAAGTTGAAAATATTTTTATGTATATTGTGAATCTGCACAGAAGTTATTTAAGGTATTACAAATGAATCGATAGAAATACAATTTTTTTTTCGTGTGAGCTACATACAATTTGGCACTGTATAGGAAGTTAAACTAGAGAAAAACAGAAACCCTAAAGAAAGTCCAACACAACAAAATTGTAAATGGTGCAGGCTCGGTTTGATTGAGCCTGTTCATGGACGGTAATGGAAAGTGCAAGTTACCGTCCACGCCCCCTAGCACTGGCTTAAGCAGAATTCAACATTTAACACGAAAATGGTGAAATTTTGAATTTAGAAACATCCGCAGATGTGTTCATACGGCGTTTTTATGGCACATTCAATGTGACCCAGTAGTGCCATTCCATGAAAAGCGGCGAAAGGTCCCCAAGTAAAAGAATGCTTTTGCCCTAAATGAGAAAACAATGGGCGGAACCAAATAAAATGGAATTTTGAAAGGGGATCTGAGGTTATGAAGCCTACATATCACAGATAAGACGTCAAAAGACAAATTTAAAAAGCAGGCAACATGTCCTAAGAGTGATTATACAGTATTCGAGTAGGAATACTGGAACCCTTCTGTCTTGATATCATCGATCTTCCATATCTATCACTGTTTCACAAAACACCCTATATATAAATCCTATCGTTTTTCAAATTTCTCGGCCTTTCCTTAAGGACCCCGAACACAACAATTAGAACATACAGAAAGTTTAGACTATTTGTTGTCTTTATCATTTGTGACATTGACAATCGACCTTAGACCTAAAGATCTATTACATGGGCGCAACACAACTACTTATGGTGGTGATCATTTGCATCAATTAATAATTAAGTGGATCCATGCGTGTAAAGATATGCCCTGGCCAAAACTAGAATAATGAATAGTATTTTTATTCATAAAAATGATATTACAGAGTGTTAAATTCTAAAAAAGAGGCCTTCTTATATATATGCCTTAGTCCAGATAAGTGTCCACATGTGTGTGACATTTTACTAAAATCATCTGGGTGTAAGTGATTTGATCACTACATTAATAACAATGAAAATTTGAAAATATTTAGCTGCTATGACATTGACAACAAAAGGGAGATAGACAAATGTTTTTACAGTTTATTTTGACAAATAAATCAATAAATAATAACAAATATAAACAGAAGTGTAAATGTGATTAAACCAAATGTATTACTATAAAGTAAAATGACAAATGTAAGAGTTAACAAAAAGTAAACTGAAAACATATCATATAAATAACGCCCATCACAACTTATCTCCAATATAGATAATTATAAAAAATCACAAAAATACACAGCATGTAAATTGACAAAAAAACCATAGAAGTTAAGAGAACATTAAACAATATATGCATTAGTACAGAAGGCCTCAAGATAAACTATCTTTAAAAAGTTTTTTAATGTTCCTATTGATCGACTGCGAATAAAAGATACACTCTAGCTAATTAATAATCGTGTGTAACGATGTTATGAAAACATGATCTTTGATGATCATGTGACCAAATAATAAAAGTGGTAACTTAAATTCAATTAATGCACGAAAGTCATATAGAACAATTCATGCTGAGAGTTTCAAATTTTAGGAAAAAGAGTTATTTATAATTTATCACTTACAAATACATGATCATGATAAGTGGGTGACATAATTGCTTTAAGTAATTAAAAATTGTCATTATTACAGTCAATTCATAGTAGTGCTTTAATGGTTACCAATCAATGGAAATGAATGCAATATAAAATATGTTAAAACTATCACAGCTTAAAACAGCTTACATTCTAGTTTCTTTCATTGACAGTGTACACAATTACTCTTTTCTCTTCCCCTGATTTAACGAATCATCCTTCCTTGTAATTTTCTTTTGGACACATTGGTGCAAATGGTAAACCATTTTCATCGGTTTAAGGGGAAGCTGAGTCGAAATAACATATTGTCAATGGTATATATTTTCCTTCCTCTGTAAATTTGTTTACATATAAGATTTATCTAAACGTCAAACATTATGGCACACATACATCTATTTCCTCTTCCTGTTGTTAGGAATTCACACGTACCACCTTTCTTATCGCAGCGTCCAACTGTCGCAGGGGCAATTCTCCCTCTTCTCCATTGAGTGTCACTACATGTTCCAGCGCTGTTGACACACAACCTGTGGCGCCTTTGACATTCCCCTTCATCAAATATGGCCCCCATGACAATCAATCCAAAAACAAATAATATTTTATTGGCCATCTTATCTGAAATTAATGAAAAAAAATATGAACTTCTAAATATCTTAATAATATAAACATGAAAGTAATAATAGGTTACATGACACACTTATATTTAAAGCGTGATAGTTATAACATCTTTGAAAACAAAACATCCTCTGCTTTCAATTAACATTTTCATAAAATAAGATAAAGTAATATATGTCAAAATTTCAATAATTTACCGTACTATTTTATTTTTCGAGTAACTTTTATACGTCTAGATGTTCTTTAAGAATGAATCCTCTTTGTCTTGTAACCGTTTTTATTTGTTGCTTTTATGTTGACTTGTCTTTTCAGAATACTAACATACTCAGCGTATGCTCCTTATATATGTTTATTTAGGACTTCCCATTTATTGTCACATGTTCAAGGCTACTTAAAATTAGTCATAATTACAAGTGATCATTACGCTTTATCACTGCTCAATACGGGGTTTTCCTTAAATACATAACGTGGGAAAATTTTTTTTTCTTGAAAAGTTTCAATAATCATCTTTATATTTAGATCGAAAATCATTGCATAGAAGGGTTGTCAAAACAGAACAAAATACTAAGAGTTTGCATATTCATATTACATTAAATTTTGACATATATAATCAGTTCAATAAAAACAAACGCTTTTCTTAAGCTTTCGACGTTTAGTCTTCTTCAGAAAAAATTGACGTTTATAAAATAACAAATGACAAATGACGCAACGTCCGCTTAACTATACGCTAAACAGAACGTGACGTTAACGCGGGAATAAAAACTTTGTCCAATAAATACAGAATCTTTCATGAATATAAATACAGCAATATACAATAAATTACACATATAATATGGATCTGCACATGTGATACAAAAATTCTCATAATTAATAATAATAAAAAACCTTGATATGAGAAAAAACATACTACATGTATATGTATACCGGCTCAATAATGACAAAGTTATATATTGTACAAAACTTTTGCATTTTTTTTTTTTTTTTTTTTTTTTTTAAATTTTTGACGACACACGTAAATTGTTATCTGTAATTTCAACATAACTGAATTATTGCGATAAACGGGTGTTCCCTGTGATGTTGCAAAACCAGGAAAACACGCACCTGGCGCAGCGAATCCAAAAAGTTCTTGAAGTTAAGTTGTACATGTATTTCAATAGACAACTGCATTGAAACTGAGGGTTGTGGGTTAACACCCTAGTAGAGTCACCTTTTTCTTTCTTTTCTTTTAACATTGTTTTTTCTTATATATTGATCACATTTTGAAAGAAAAAATGTGTTTAATTGTTATTATATAATTAGTATATCATTATGTATATATTGACTGAATAATGCTGGATTCATTTACAAATTTGGTCTCTAATATTTCCTAAATAGAGGAGAACGGAGTCCATAAAGAACGCCCAAAGCAACATAATTGAAAATGTTGCCGGATCGGTTTAATTGAGAAGTTACTATCCACGCCCCTAGCACCGGCATAATTCAACATTTCAAGACAAAAATGGTGAAATTTTGAATTTAGAAAGATCCGCAGATGAGTTCATACGGCGGTTACCATGGAACCTTCAATGTGACACTTTCGTGGCATTCCATGAAAAGCGGAGTATGGTCTTTAAGAAAAGAAAGAGTGTGCCCAGTAAAAGAACACAATGGTCGAAACTATATTAGAGGGTCAGAGGTTTTGAAGCCTGGAGATTCGAGATAAGACGTCAAAAGTCAAATTAAAAAAAAAAACCCAAAAAAACAGGCAACAATAAAAGTATAACAAATATCAAAGTCTTAATTTAAATAAATATGAAAGTCTTATCAATTTAAAACTTCAAGGATTTTTTTTATTTGGCAACATCAACCAATGTACTTCTAAGAAAATGTAGACACACTTTTAAAACAGGCCTTCATCAATTTGGTAAATTTCAGGCATATTTTGATTTTGGCTCTTTAAACAGCACATACTTAAAGATGTGTTTAAAATGGATAGGGTAAGGTAACATTTTTACACATATTTCAAACATTTTGAGAAGAAAAAAATAATTTTGCTCGGCATGTTTTAAAACAATTATCAATAGGACGGATGAAAGTATCGATTAATAAGAGTTCATATTTTTTTACAAAAATGATACTCGGACGATGTTAAAGTGCCTTTATTTGCATACCTTATCATGGATTATTGTCATAGCATTTTATGTATAGGTCTAGAAAAACACTGCAAGATACTATTTTAAATTTAGGTAAGTGTACCATACATTTACATATTCACGTACAGATGCATGAATATGCAAAACTATATTTAAAGTTTGAAATGTATATCAATTGAACATATCAATAATTAGACAATTTTTGCTTCTTATAGGTGAGCACTGAACACATTTCACCGAGAGTATCACAAAAGTTTGGATTTCGTTTGTTTGGTGTCTTTTTATATAGACCGGGATCATAAGCGTTAATGGTAGACTCGTTTTTTTGGACAGTCACACGACGCAGTAAATTCTTATGTTAAATAAGTCATTATTAAAAGAATTTATAAAATTGTAAAAGCGTGAAGTTTAAATGGGAGGAAAAATGTTCACAAATCTCTTATATCCGAAAAAAATTAACTAGAAAGTTTTTTCTAATAATCCTATGGATTAATAATATTTTCGTTCATTGAACGCCGCCTTTCCTTTTTGATCTTGTTTATCATATTTTTTTAGATAAATGATCTGAGCGTGCATACGTTTCATAAATATGCTTTATATTATAAAACTAATTTTAGAATGACCAAGGAAATTCCTTGATTTGAGTTGTAATTTTAAACTTACCGATGGAAATCTTATATTCAGGTTATTAAGTCAAACCATTCTTAGAGGGACTAGGTCCGAAAAAAAGATGTCTGCTAATATTCAAGCTTTTATTCAAAATTCATAAACAGAAAAGTAAATTTTGTTTAAATTTTGCATGCAAATGATCTTAAGGCATATAACTGACGTTTATGTTCAATCCTACAGTTCCTCTTAGTGCCCATTAGGGTAACCATATATTAAAATTTAACAAGGCCCAACAAATGATAAGTGTGAATTACTATGGTTAATGTATTTCAAGGAGTTGTGCCTATTGATAGGTAAGAGAAGTGTGGCGATGAAATTCTATTCGTATAAATGGTATCTTGAATGCTACGATTACTACAGTGACTCATAACATAAGTAAAACAAAATGGAAAACTGATGTTAAATGGAAACAAAGGTTTACTGATAATATACATATAAGCATTGTCGCATCCACTTCACACGACATGGAAATGAAATAAGAAATATGAAACAGAAGTGAAACAACTAAGCCATATCTATTTGTCAGTAAATATTGACGTTTTCTTTAGTGGCCAATTGTAAGGAAGACACGTGTTGTTCTATTTTCATATTGTATTAACTGACATGATTTTTTTTCTTCCTAAACTGTAATTTATTCCGTGTTATTTGTCTTTCCTATTTGACATTACTTTTTTATATGCGTAAATCTTTTGAATTTCACCATTAGTTTTACAAAAAAGGTATTTTACGTTTCATAAAGTGCTTATGGCTACGAAAAACAAACCAGAGGGCCGAGATGGCTATTAATCTTTCACATGAGAAGATGGTTTAAAAAACAAGTTTGTAGCTTCATTAAAATCTACCCAGGAGTTTAGAATAAAATGTCGTTTAGAGTTCCTTTTTTTAACTGTGGCGGCAATCTTCATCAGCAGACATGTATAGTTCTATCAAAATCTATCCAGCGAACGTGAAGAAGAAAGAAGATCAAAATCTACCCAAAAATAAAGGACGAGATATCATTCAAAGTTTTTTCTCTATTTTTAGCTCTGGTGGCCATCTTGTTAAGCAGATCGGAACCATTTAAGAAATTGTTACAGAAAAACATATTCAAGGATCATTTCTGTAAAGTTTCATCAAATTCAAAAACCAACTTGCCAAACAATTACACATAATAAAAACAAACAGTTAATTATGCCTTAATCTAGTTGGGTGGTTCCAATATTTCTACTTGAATAATGTTGAATCACCGTTAGGATATGTTGCCTGCTTTTTCAACTTTGTCTATTGACCTCTTATATATGATATGCAGGCTTCATAACCTCTGAGCCCCTTTTTAAAAGTCAACTTTGTTTAGTTTCACCCATTTCTTTTTCGTAATTTAGGTCACACGCTTTCTATTACTTTGGGACCAAACGTCGATTTTCATGGAATGCCACGAAAGTGTCATATTGAAGGTTCCATAGTAAACTGCAACATTTAAAATTTTGCCCTTTAAGACTTTTTTTAGGATTGTTATTTTTTTTTAATTTAAGATCCTGTAACTCAATTTCTATGGTTTTATATGACAAATATAATACTCAAATGAAGATTATTTGTGAAGATATTACCGACTTTACATTTCATGTATGTAAATAAAGGGAGGTAATTAGAAATTTATTTTGTATAAAGTCTAAGTGAAATTTGTCAATAAGAAATAAATGCATATATCTTAATGATTACTTTTAAAGTGGACACATATTTGCAGTACATATTTTACATATTTTTCGATGTTTGAAAATTAAAATTGTTTAAGAAACACAATTATATACAAATATAAAATTTCACTTAAAGTGGTTAAAACCTTAAGTACAACATGCAGGATCTTTAATTAAGCTATAGTTTAGAGAGTTGTTGTTTTCTTTTTCAAGGTTAGCAACATCTGTAATTACCTATTATCTAAAATATATACTTTAAGTTAACTAACATTACACTACTTTAAATATATGTTATGCGTTAAAAATTACTATTTATAAAACGTTTTTAGCTAAAATAATTGATAAAACATGTTTTAAAGTTAAAAAGAACAGGCAAAGACTCATCAAAATACGTCAATAACTGCCCACAAGGATTTTGTAAAATCAAATTATAAAATTCAACTGTCCATCCACGCACAATTATTGAACGTTTTCCGATCAAAATCCCCATTCAATTATTTCTTCATGTATTATTATCCACTCAATAATGTTGGATGTCTTTTAAACTATATTAGTGTTAAGCTTCCACGATGTAGAAGTTTCAATATCATTTATCACTTGAGTGGTTAATTGCTAACATCTTATGACATCTTATGATAAGTATTTATGAATGACATTTCTCACAAATCACTTACTCCTACTATGTACTTCCTGCTTTCATTTTTCATTGATTGATGTCCTTGGGGTGAAACTGGGAAATTTTGTTTAAAAGAATGATCATAAAATAAAGTCATGTACAGTCACAATTCACTGAAACCAAAAGAAACAATCAAATTGACATGGAATGCACTTGTAACTTTTTGTTAGTTAGCAAATAAAATTAATCAAAATTGAGGGAAGTCCTTTTAAACAGAATAGACAAGACAGAATAGGCAGGGATGTTAATGACATTTTCTCTCAACCTTTTTTTCCCTTAATTATAAAAGGCATTCAAGGAACAGTAATGGATTGTTTTTATAATCAAAATGAGTTGACAGAACAGAAAATAAGGAAAGATTTCGTTGATAAATGTCATTTTTAAATTTA